TGCAATGTAAATTAATATTTAAAAGTAATGAAAATACAATGCGTTTTTAAAAGAGATCGAGAGTTCAGGGGTTGGTTATACAATGGGAAGGTATTAGCACCCAGTGCATCTGCGGTACTCCGCAGGAACCTTTTGAAATATCTGTTTTTTGGTTTAAAATTGTTTTTTTGATTAAAATGGTTCGTTTGGCTAAAAGATGGGTATGGACGAGATTTTTGAAGACACGATGACCTAGTGTCGAAGTTTTGACTTAAAAGGTGTGTGTTTGAAAATGGGGTCTTTTGGGAAAATTATCTTGAGTTTAGCAAAATAGTTTACAAACAAAAAATGAAAAAAAAGGGTATTCGCACGATCGGATGAGATGTATTTGATGACGTGAAGTCAACTGAGTTGAAACATTTCCCTTGGAATTAATCATAAGTGGGTAGATCTAATATTCGAGTAAGAAATCATAAATAATTAAAATCCACGAGAAACGAACAAGGTAGATAACAAGATAGATTATAAGAAGCTAAATGAATGGACAAAGAAGAATCATGAATAAAAGAAAAGTGTAAAAAAAATTATCTAAACTAATTTGAAATTCTAAGGTTACTAAGTAAACTAAATTTAAATTCTAAAGCGTCTAACTAAATTAAATAAAATTTTGAAGTTATTAACTAAATTAAAACTCTAAAGTTACTAACAAAAATTCGAAAGTTATTAAATTAAATCTAAAATAAATTAACACTCTAATATTACTGAATTAGGTCTAAACTAAATTAATTCTAAAGTTGCTAAATTACATCTAAACTAATTTAAGTATAAACTAAATTCATTATAAAATTACTAAGTTAATCTAAACTATATTAATAATAAAATTACTAACTTAAATCAAAACTAAATTAATTCTAAATTAAAGATTAAAATTCTAAGATTAAATTAAAATTCTAAAGTTATCAAAATGTATCTAAACTAATTGGAAGTTCTAAAGTTATAAAATAGATCTAAACAAATTAAAAATTTTAAGTTATCAAAATGTACCTAAACTAATTAAAGGTTCTAACATTACTAATTTATATCTAATTAAATTAAAATTCTAAAGTTATTAATTATGATTCTAAATATTTTAAAGTTATAAAATACATCTAAGCTAATTAAAAAAATCTAAATTAATACTAAACTAAATCTAAATATAAGATCTACTAATATTTTTTTATATTATTATTTTTTTGAAAGCCCAAAACCCAAACCTACTCCAATTACATCCCTAATTTTAAAAAAAAACAAATAATAATGACAATAACCTGTAACAACAGGGCATACAGGCACCTCCACCTGCTGTAAACAAAACAAAGTTTTCTTGTTGTTTTTTAATCATATGGACAATAACCAATGGGGTGCTGACACGTGGCGAAACATTATAACAAAAAATAAAAATAAAACAAAATATAACACAAATATGATTGAAACAAAGTCAGGAAATATAAGTTTATCTCACTACCTATTTTTCTTCTCCCAAACTTCTCATTCAAACGTAGCAACATAGATTCACCAACAAAACTCTTTCTCTAAGGTAGCTTTTTCGAGTTTCCTTCTCAGTGAATTCCGGTGAGGGAGGTTGCTTCGGCCGGGACATTGGCAGCTGGGAGTGGATCTGGGTGTTGCGCGGTGGTTGTATGAGGACATAAGGAGTAGTCCGAAGGAGGCACGGAGAAGGTGACCGTGTGGCTTGCGGATAAGGTTGTTACGCTGTGGGGTATGGATGTTTGGAAGAGAGGAAATGAAGGTGGAATTGGGTAGTAGATGAAGAGGAGTTACTGTTTGTTGTTGTTGAGCTAAGACAGGTGGATGCACCAGTGGAAAAATTGACGGAGGGTGATGCTGTTGGAGATTAACGGTTAACAGTGGCAGAGGTGAGATGAACAGGGCGGCGTGATGCTAGCGGAGACGGATCGAGTATGAACAATGGTGGTGCAGTTGAAAGGTTAACAGTGGTAGAGGGTAGTGTTGAAATGTTCGGTGGATTTATGGAGAGGAAGAGATAATTGAAGGTTGGGGTTTGGCGCTGTGAGCGGAGAAAATGGAAACGGGAGTTACGGAAATTGAGTGAGGTGAGCGTGACAGTATGGAATTGAAGGGAGTAATACATTGTGGTTGGTTAGCTAGTAGAGAGAGAATGAAGGGAAATTGGTTTGGTGGGTATGCGTTACTGTAGGGGACAGGGGGGTATGCTGTGATGTGAGAAAGTATGAAGGTAAGGTAGATGGTGAAAGAATGAAGGGCGATTTATTATTGTAACAGAGAGAGGAAGAAATTGAGTAAAGGGTTTTTGCATAGAGAGAGAGAGAGAGAGAGTAGCTTACTGTATTTCTTTTTTGGTTTGTTGTCTTTTCTTTTTTGTTTTCCCCCCTTTACAAAGAGAATATGGGCCCTTTAAATAGGAAAATGAAGAGAGAGAAGAATGATCTGATTTGCAATTTCGTTTGGCAAATTTCTATATCTATCCGCAACTATCGACAACAACCAATAGGAAAAAAGGCAAAGTATAATCAATATTTTTATGACCAAAAAGCCCCTGAATAACAAAAATAAAATAAAAACCTGAAATTATAAAAACTAACTCAATTTAAAATGATTTTTTTTAATATTTTATGAATAAAAAATAAAGACCCAAAATGACCGAAAATGATAAAAAAACGGACGAAAATTTATCCGAAAAAATAAAATGAACACATTAAAATAATCTACATGTCATAAAGATTAAAGAAAAAAATATTCAAGAAGTCAAAAATCAAAAATAAAATAATAATAAAAATATCAGACTAAACAGACGTTTAAGGTTAAAAACGAGACTTCGAACTGTACCGAAAAAATAAAGCGAGCATACCGTCATAATCTACGCGAAGCGCAGATTCATAAAATGATCGGTAAAAGGTGAAAACTTGAAATATTTTCTCGCTACTTTCCCGCATAGTGTCGAATCGCTTTTAACAGTCTGTCTATAAAACCGAAATATTTTATTATCGACATATAAACAACTTGGAGCAAATGAAAGAAAATAGCAAACAGATAAAAATGAATGAAGTGAAATGTCGGGTATTTTTACAACTGAAAGACGATGCAAATTTTGATTTAAACTGACTTTTTCTGGTCAACTTAAATACGACTAATGATGCAAAATGTGATGAATGAAGATATTTACTAATGATTATGACCAAATAACAAAATATGATATGAAAGTGCGACTAAAAAATTAGGGGCGAAATTAAGGGTGCAACAGTTGTGCCTTGATGAATCAGTCTTCGAGAATCCATAATCAACCGTACTTTTGGCTTGGGAGACTCAAAACCTTAATTGAGGCGCGACACCTGATGCTCTTGATTCAGACCTGTCTCTGCACATGAAACAAAAGAAAACAAGAACATACACCTTTGTATGCGATTAGAAATTAGTGATACATAGGCTCAAAATGTTCAAAACACTTGACAATCTTCGCATAGTCAATGCTTGAAAGTGAGAGGTTAAAACCGATTGTATTTCGTGACCTTGACTTATCTTAAAAAATGCAAAAATAAAAATGGGATCTTAGGTCAAAAATTGGGGTACAACACCCACAAAATCTACAAGAAAAAATTTCAATAAGTAACATGACAAGAAAATTCTCACCAAAGACTTTAAACCAGGACAAATGGTGTTATTTTTCAATTCTCGACTAAAAATGTTTCTAGGCAAATTGAAGTCCAAATGGTTAAGGCCATTCCAAATCAAGGAAGTGAAGCATTATGGTGAAATTGTGTTAGAAGATCCAGTTTCGAAAGAAAGTTGGAATGTCAATGGTCAAAGATTGGAGCTCTACCTTGGTGGTTACATTGATCGGCTCACAATAATATTTCTCTTTCCGATCCTTGAAGTCACTGAAAAATTGTCAAGCTAATTAACGTTAAACAAGCGCTTGTTGGGAGGCAACCTAATTTTGTAATTTTTTAACAGATTTGCATTTAGTAGTATAGGTATTGAATGGTGAAATGGGTGAGAAAAATTGAATTTTGTTGCATTTTTGAGATTCTGGGCAGTCTTGCTTGCGCTAAGCGCAGTAGGATGGCGTTAAGCGCCCTCTGCTATGACAATAAAATTTTTTATTTACCAAACCACATTCCCACTTTCACCCAGGCCCAACTATTTTTCATTTAAACCATTTGAATGTGGTCAAATTTATAAACTCAGATTTCCCTATCTTTTCCCTCATTCTATCTCACTTGCAAACCCTAAACTCTATATTCTCTCAAGTCACAAACCCTAGACATTGTAATTTCTTCCCAATTTCCTCTGCATCTTCACTATTTGCATCAATCAACATGTAAATTTTTATCAATTTCGTAATCTATCCGTATTTGGAAGTATGCTATTGTTAGGTTTAGAAAATTTCAAGTTTGAAATGGTGGATTTTGCCCTTTTTGTTGTGATGCATGATTATAGGCAGCTTAGTGTATATATGTGTTGAACTAGATTATGGGCTAATCCATTAGATTGTGTACATATGTTGTTTAAGTTGATTATTGGGGTAGAACTGTCTGTGCAATAAGTTGCACATAAGTGCTTTAGGAGCTTAGCGCGGGAAGTGGTGCTTAATGCCTCCCTGATGTCCATTTTTTTCTTTTAGGCTTTCTTGTTATGTTGTATGGTGTTTTGATGCGAATAGGATTACAGAAGGAGGTTTTTGTGATGTTTAGTTATTTTTAATGAGGTTTGTGCTGGTTTTGTTTGATTTTTCAGGCATATCTCCTAAGCACATAATTGCTTCAAAGAAGCAAAAGACTGCTGCAGGAACATTGGTGATAAGAGGAAATTGATGACTTTGGTAATCTCTCAAAACAAAGGCTCACATATTGATGACTTTGGTCCTTTATAACATAAGGACCAGAAGTCATACCTCTTATATTCCTCTGGATACTGCTTATTTGTTGTACTATATCTTGGATGGCAGGTAGGTTTATGTCGTAAGTATCATTGCTAATGAGATGAAGATGATTGCTGAAATCAGTCATAGATTGGGAAACAAGACGCCTTACACTTTGGCTTTCCCAGGGTTAACTATGGGATTGTGCTTAAGGGCTCGTATCCTGCTTCCATCTATGGTTCACGAGACCATTGATGGTGTTATGGATGAATGGTACATTGAGAGACATTGTGTAACAAATCCAAGCAGGCGAAGAAACACTTCAGCTCCTTCTGGATCAACAAACCTGAATTATGATGATTGGGATCCTAGGCAAAAAGATGCTTGCACATACACTTGAGATATGCTTGAAGAAAATAAAAGAGCTTTCATGTTTATGCATAATTTCATGCATCAGTTGCAGCTGCAAATAAGGGAACCACATGCTGGTAATCGGATTGCAACTCAGGAGGAATTCTAGGAGCGTGCTAATTGGCCTTAGCCATTTTATTCGGAGGAGGCAGTTGGTGAAGAAGATGCTGAAGAGGAAAAAGTTATGAAAGTGGAGAAAATGAGGATATGAGTGATGATGATAATGCTTGATGGCTTTTTGTGATATTTAAATATTTTATAATTTTTTTTGCTTAGAACTTATTGTGAAGTTTGGTTAAAGTTATGTTGTTTTAGTTGTTTAACTTATTTTGGTTTATGTTGGTCCATCCTTGTTAGGATGTGGAATTGTGGAATTTTGTAGTGGCAATTCATATCAACATAACTAACTGTGGAACCATAACTTTTTATGATGGTATTTTATTAATTAAGTTGTTAGTTTAAATTGTTTCATGTAGATAGTTTAGTCGCTTAGTTTTATTTGAAGTTAAGTTTTAAGCAAAAAAAATTGAGTTTGTTCCAAAGATTGTCTTTGAATGGCTTAAAGAAGAAATTATTGATGATTCCAAGTTTTAATGTATCACCATGCAAATGATTTGGTAATGATAAAAGCTTGAAAAATGGTACAAGGGCAAGGTACATGTTTATTGCTTTCTAGACCATAGCATGAATATGAAACTTGTAATTGTACAAACATCATGTCATTCATTCTTTTGCACTACATGTTCATGATTGAATTACTTTAGATCAAAGCCTAAATGTGAGGAAACTTTACATTGTTTACTATATCCAGGAGATTAATAATTCTTTGTTTTAACTCGGTTTTCTTATGTTTAATACTGCATTTGTGTTGAATTGAATGAAATCATGAAAATGATCAAGGTAATTTTTCAATTTTTAGCATAACTACTTGACCAAAAGTGACCTACCTTATGAGTGAGATAGAATTTGTTAACCCCTTTGTGCCTTAGGGTCAGGATCCAAAGAAAAATTTGAAAAAGAAAAAGAAGTAGAAAAAAGAAATAAAAATGAAAAAGTTTGAAAGAAAGAGTGGTAAACAATTTGTTCCAACAAATTTGATCAAGGGTGTGATAACACGAAAAACTATAGCATATTATGCCCGATTTACATAGATAAAGCTTCTGATTCTTCATTTATTATGTTGCATTATGTCTCTATTTATAGTATTTTTAGCATATTTCAGGTATTTAGTTTTTGTAAAGCATACATGAGAAAAGGAAGAAAAATATTTGAGAAGTGAAGAAGAAATGGCACTTTAGCAGCAAAAATGCAAACGATTCTGTATCAGAAGCCATGCCACCCGTCACAGGCGCATGCCGCTCGTCACAAAGTCCAAAATTGTGCCCCTCGGAACACTTCTTGTCCCGACCGTCACGTAATTGAAATGTTCCCCACGCCACAGCGCACGACACTGTTACAAGTCATATATCTTCAGTTACAGAAATATCTCCATGAACGCACGTCTTTCTGATTCTTCTCCACACATGAAGAACGAAGATTAAGGAAGTGTCCCTATTTTTTCTCAATCATATTGAATCTATAAAAGGAGGACAGTTACCAAAACTATATACGTTTGCACACCTGCTCAAAATTCTTATTTCCTGCATATTGAACATTGTTATATTTTATTCAGTTTTACAGTTTTTGATTAATTTTCAATTTCGTTTATAATTTCTGTAAGCAAATAAAACCATCACCATTAAAGCAATATTTCTTCACATCAGAGGAATATTGCACCTTTAGTTTCCTTCTAGCTTCTAGAATTTCATTTAGGCTTATTTGTATTTCTTCAAGATATTTTGTTCCGAAGTTAATCTTGCCAGCTTGTGGAGGATAGCATACTGCACTATTATTCTTCAGTGTTTTATTCCAGGTTCCAATTTTAAATATATTTTATTCATTTTTACCAAGCATATGTTATTGAATGTATATTTTTATTTTATGTTATCACACCATAAAATTATGTTTGGCTAATTTTCTCGATATCGGTATGTGAGGTCCTAAACTGAAGGGATTCAGTAATTAATTGGCATAAATATTTTACAAAAAGACTTTTATGGTTTTGATTTCCAATTTCAATATTAAATTATTTTGTTACGAGAGTAAAAGAAACACTAAGGATGAAATCAACAGAGCGAGAGTTTGAGATTTTAACCAGATAGCGGTGATTGAACATTAATTTTAAATACAACAAGAGCACTTTAAAATTAATTGGACTCTATTTGTTTTAAAAAAATACTTTTAAATTTTAAATGACACAACGAGAGTGCTTATATAAGTTTTACAATATGGTCTGAATCGATAGAACGAAAGGGTGAGACAAGGGTTTTTAAATTAATAGTTTCCATTGAAACAATGTTTTAATACTCAAAACTATGCCAATAACTTATTGAATCCCTAAAGTCGATAAATTACATACCGGTGTCCCGTTATCAATTATTAGATTCTTAGTTAATTCCAGTTTAAACCCCAACTTCATAGCCACCAAATCTCAAACTAATAAATATTTCATGAATCAAAATATTCACACTACTTAACAAATTAAGCATCTGACAAATAAGGTTGATGCTCTTGCCACACACAACAAAATGTTAGAAACACAAATCTCCCAAGTGGCTCAACAGCAAGCAGCTACAACTGCTCCATATGGAACTTTTCCTGGACAACCCCAACCAAATCCAAAGGAACATGCTAATGCCATAACACTTCGGAGTGGGACAGAACTAGGCGGACCAACTGAACCTAGAGTCGAGAACCCAACCATGTAGCAGAAACATGGAAAAGGAACTGAGAAGGAATCTGAGCCAAAGGAAGTAGAAAAATAAGGTGATAGTGAAGAGGCCGTGGAAAAATAAGAACCTTATTTACCTCCGCCACCCTATAAACCACCTATCCCATATCCTGAAAGATTTTCTATGTCTAAAAATGTAGGGCAATACAAGAAATTCGTTGAACTTTTGAAACAACTTAACATTACCATACCTTTTACAGAAGCTATCACACAAATGCCCTCCTACGCTAAATTTCTTAAAGAAATCTTATCCAATAAGAAAAAGCTTGAGGATAATGAAACTGTATTACTCACTACTGAATGCAGTGCTATAATCCAAAACAACATGCCTCCTAAACTTAAAGACCCAGGTAGTTTTTCCATACCTTGCATAATCAGAAAGTTTGTCAAAGACAAAGCACTATGCAATTTAGGAGCCAGTATTAGTCTGATGCCCTTATCAATTTCCAATAAACTCAACATGGGAGAACTAGGACCAACAAGATGTCCATACAGTTGGCGGATCGATCGGTGAAATTTCCTTTAGGTATGTTAGAAAATGTTTTTGTACGTATAGGACAATTGTATATCCCCACTGATTTCATAATCATGGACATTAAAGAAGACTCCAACATTCATATTATATTAGGTAGACCATTCCTAGCCACTGCAGGAGCCATCATATATGTTAAAAATGGAAAACTAACTTTCAAAGTCAGAGAAGAAAAAGTTGAATTCATCTTGTCTAAATTCTTTAAGGCACCATCCATCGACGATTCATGCTGTTTCTTATATGTAATCAATAAATGCGTAAAAGAAATGGAGAAACAACAAACCACCAGTTCAGAAGTATTGAAGATTCCTATACCTCCAATTCTCAAAGATAATAATTGGCGCCATGAATATCAAGATGAAAATATGAATGAATTCCTAGCTCTAACTCATGAACCTATACCTTGTCCTAGAAACAGAACTTGAATGACCTGTTATAGTAAATGCAGAGCTATGTCAAATAGAAACTAAAAACTCATTACATGTCCTAAGAAAATACCCAAATGTTTTAGGTTATAACATCTCATATCTAAAAGGAATAAGCCCTTCTATCTTCATGTACCGTATTATGATGGAGAAAGACTGTAATACCTCTATAGAACATCAAAGAAGAATCAATCCTATTCTGAGCGATGTAGTCAAAAAGGATGTAGAAAATCTATTGGAAGCAGAAATCATATACCCAACATCCGACAGTAAATAGGTTTGCCTATTACGTGTCGTACCTAAGAAGGGAGGTGTTACAACTGTAAGCAACACTAAAGGAGAATCCGTAGCGCAACGAACTCACACCGGGTGGAGAATGTGCGTCGACTATAGAAAGTTAAACAAAGCCACTCATAAAGATAATTTTCCTTTACCTTTCATTGATCAAATGCTTGAACGACTATCTAAACACTCACACTTATGCTATTTAGATGGTTACTCGGGATTCTTCCAAATTCCTATTCATACTGACGATCAGGAAAAGGCAACTTTCACTTGTCCTTATGGTAAATTTGTTTATCGACGAATGCCATTCGGATTATGTAATGCCCCTGCAACATTCCAGAGATGCATGATGTCCATTTTCTCTAATTTTCTAGATGGTATGATGGAAGTTTTTATGGATGACTTCTCTGTATGTGGAGATAGTTTTGAAGGATGTTTATCGAACCTTAAAATGGTACTAAAAAGATGAGTAAGTGTCAACCTTGTGCTAAACTTGGAAAATGCCACTTCATGGTCCGACAAGGAATTGTCTTAGGGCACATCGTATCCGATAGGGGAATTGAAGTGGATAAAGCAAAGATTTAAGTAATACAAAATATTCAACCGCCCGAAACTGTTAGAGAAATAAGAATTTTTCTAGGACACACTTGTTTTTATCGATGTTTCATTAAAGACTTCTCCAAAATAACCAAACCTCTAACTGAACTGCTAATGAAAGATGTTAAGTTCATCTTCACTGACAAATTCTTGGACGCATTTACAACACTAAAAAAGGTGTTAACCTCGGCACCTATTATGCAACCTACTGATTGGAATGAGCCATTTAAGATAATGTGTGATGCTAGTGACTATGCCGTAGGCACATTTCTAGGACAGAGAAAGGATAAAAAGCTTCACGCAATCTACTATGCATATAG